TTTACATTTTATGTTTCTAGGTTCAATATTATAGAAACTTTCAAAAATAGCTGCACATGTTCACATAAATTCATTTCAGCGAGTTCACTGTAACGTATAATCATTAAAATATATCAACAAAATATAACAAATTTTCATACGCTCCACTGTCCCAATGCTTAACAATAGATAGAATAACCTATATTTCTTAAATTGCAAAAATAATCTTTTACACAGTGTTTTCTTAGCAATTGTAAAACTTTTATTGAATCTAGAGAAACATATTTTTTTACACAACTTTTTAAGTATTCAAATGGATCATGTTTTGTATTTGTGCTTAAAACATAAATGTAGTTTTCAATAAGATTACTACTGACAAAAGCGTAAAAAAAACAGCAAATTTTCTTATTTTATTTTAACAAAGCAAAAGCAAAGCGACCCAGTTCTATATAGAAAAAAATCCATAAAAAGAACATTATTTACTTTGATTTGTAAGAAAAAGGAATTCTTTTTAACAAATAGAAATTTCCTGTAATCAAAAGGAATGCAAATGAATGCATTTTACACAGAGTCTAGATAAATGTAAAAGCATTGCATATTTACATAAAGGTATTTGAGTATGTGTGTATATTTGCAGGTGTATGTTAATATGTTAATGTACTCACTACATTTTAATAATAGACGTTTTTTGTGTGAAATAAGAAGAAATGTAAAACGAAAAATTAAAGACTCCTTATTTTCTTGTTTTTTTTTCTTACATTTTTACTGGCTGCTTAAATGCATTTATATACATGTGTATGCATGTTCGTTCTATTTTATTTTATGAAGAACTTTATGAAGTCAACTTCATCTAATTACACTTTGTGTTAAAGGCATCATTTATAAATCTTTAAAGTGAAGATGTCCTTTTTGTAAAACACAAATTACACAAAAAGGAGCAGGTTAAAAAAGTGGTGTTTTTTTTTTATTTCTTCCCACTTCTTGTAGTAGACTTTTTTGCTTATAAGTGGAGTTTCATGAGAAATTATGGTAAATTTAAATTTTAATTGGTTTGTTAAAGCTTGTTGTTAAAATCTAAAAGTTTAGCTTAAAGAAGAGAATAACTTTTCAAACCTATTTACTTATTATAATAGTTTTACCAACCAAAGTTATCAAAGGTTTCATAAAACTAAAATTAACTTTGTTAATGAAAGTTTTTGTAATGTACATAAAAAATTGAATTTAAAATTTTTGTTGACTCACAAAATAGTTGAATTAAATATACTTTTCAAAATATACATTGTCATGTTGTATGATGTTGGCCGAAATATACGTACATTTGTAGACTGGTCGATAGACTACAGACTATAGACTGGTCTATTGTTCAGACTATAGACTGGTTAGACAATAGATAGGCCATACTATAGACTGGTGTATTGACTAGACTATAGACTGGGCTATGAACAGACTATCGACTGGCATATGCAGGCTATAGACTGGTCTATGAGCTCACCAGACTATAGATTTGTCTATAGGCCAGACTATAGACTTGTCTATAGGCCAGACTATAGACTTGTCTATAGGCCAGACTATAGACTTGTCTATAGGCCAGACTATAGACTGATTTATAGGCTAGACTATAGACTGGTCTATAGGCCAGACTATAGACTGGTCTATAGGCCAGACTATAGACTGATTTATAGGCCAGACTATAGACTGGTCTATAGGCCAGACTATAGACTGATCTATAGGCCATACTATAGACTGGTGTTTTGGCTAGACTATAGACTGGGCTATGAACAGACTATCGACTGGTATATGCAGGCTATAGACTGGTCTACGAACAGACTATAGACTGGTCTATGAGTAGATTATGTACCGATCTATGAGCACACTATAGACCGGTCTACAGGCCAGACTACTGACTGGTATATATACCGGACTGTAGAGAAGTCTATAGGCCAGACTATAGACTGGTCTAAAGGCCGGACTATAGACTGATCTATAGGCCATACTATAGACCGGTCTACATGCCAGACTACAGACTGGTATATATACCGGACTGTAGAGAGGTCTATATGTCACACTATAGACTTATATATAAGAATGTTAGACTATAGACTTGTATAGATATCAGACTTTAGACTGGTCTATAGGCCATACTATAGACTGGAATATAGGCCAGAGTATAGACTGCTCTATAGGCCATACTATATACTATAGGCCATACTATAGACTGTCGTACTATGGACTGTTCTACAGGCCAAATTATAGACTGGTATATAGGCCAAACTATAGACAGGTATATAGGTCATTAAATATTGTTAAAATCTTAAAAGACCTAAAAAACATGAACGATTACACAGGCTAACAAATTTTTAATCCATAGACCAAGGTATACTCTTATAAAGGATTGAGTTGCGCTAAAGAAGGGAGAGGATGATTTATTTCAAAGTCGACAGTATCTCAGAAATTACGATAGCCCCAAAGTCTGAAACGATAGAGAAATTTTGAGTACACATTCGTATTAGAAAACTATACTGAGTTTTAAAATTTTTTAAATGTTTGTTGAACTGGGTTATTTATGAAACTCCCCCTACATATACAGGTAAAAGGTATTCAACTATAACCTGTAAAACAATAACAACAAGAAACTATAGGCAACAAAGGATGATGAAAATAAGAACTAACAGCAACAACAACAATATGAATATGAAAAGCATTTATGAAACACCATCATCGTCATCATCATCTGTTGGTAAATGAAATGAGCAACATGTAGAGCGGCCGTTGAACTGCACAAATGAATATGTACTATGTTCCAGGAGTAAGTGTTACTGTGTATATGTGTTTTTTATATACAAAAAAAAGGATACTTGATGGTATATGTGTTGATATGAAATTTATATTGTTGCAACTTCTGCTTCTACTTGAATACAATCTTATGTTGGTTGCTTTTGCTGATGCTGACGTTGCTGCTCGAGCAACAATAACAACAGCTTTTGATTTTCGTTCAAGTTGTTTTAAATGTTGTGCCTGTATTTATTCCTGTTTATTTTCTATTTGTTGTTTTTTCTATTTCTCATTGTTAATGCTGTGTTCTTATTTCGGCTTTTTTATTATTGCAACATTTTTATGCTTTTTTCATTCTAAGGAAACCAAAGTATTGACAGGAAAATGATGTGGTTGTAGTTGCTGCAGCTCCAGTAAAAGAAGCCCTGATTTCTATGAAAAACAATTTATTGTATTTTTAATAGGAGCAGGAGTTTTAAGTGGTGGTGGCATGTTAAATGTATTGTATTTTGTGGGTTTTGTTAATGTATTTTTGTTGCTCTTGTTGTTGGTTGTTTTCTTCATATTTGTTGCTGCAGTGTTGTTTGTTTATTTGCTGCTCTAAATGCCTGCAGCTTTTGTATGCATTCAATTTACTTGACGTGTGTGTTTGTTGAGTATTTCCTTAAACTTCCTTTTTTGCGTTGACGAGGACGTTGCTGTTATTATCGATGTTGTTATTCCTGATGATGGAATTGTTTAGGTATGATTTTATATTCGATTTAGAAGTGTATAAGTACTTATAAAATTGAGTTTGCTTTATTGATTGAATATGTTTTTTTTTCTTCAATTTTTGGAAATTCAACAGGATGAAATTTGACATAAATTACATTTTAAAAGATTATTTTTAATGGTTATTTACTGTTTATGAGCAGATTTAATTAAAGTTGTATTACGTAAAGGAAATTATACGCAAGCAATTTTATTTGTGAACAACAATTTTCCTTGAAGAATTTATTTAATATATAAATCGGCTAGGATGATGGAATTAACACAAATACGTTTTATTTTAATAAATTCATTTAAGAACGAGATTGTAATATTACTAAAAATGTATATAGTTAAAGTAAATACTGGTCATAATCGAGATTATAGACTGGTCTATAGACCAGACTAAAGACTGGTCTATAGTTCAGACTATAGCCTGGTCTATAGTCCAGACTAAAAACTGGTCTATAGTCCAGACTAAAGACTTGTCTATAGTCCAGACTAAAAACTAGTCTATAGTCCAGACTAAAGACTGGTCTATAGTCCAGACTATAGCCTAGTCTATAATCCAGACTATAGTCGAGTCTATAGTCCAGACTATAGCCGAGTCTATAGTCCAGACTATAGCCCAGTCTATAGTCCAGATTATAGCCTAGTCTATAGTCCAGACTAGTCTATAGTCTGGTCTACAGTCCAGACTATATACTGGTCTATAGTCCAAGTTATAGAATGGTCTATAGTCCAGTCTCTGGGTTCTATAGTCCTGATGATAGACTGCTCTATATGGTCTACAGTTCAGACTATAAACTGGTCTATAGTCCAGACTAAAGACTGGGGTACAGTCCAGACTATAGCCTTGTCTACAGTCCAGACTAAAAACTGGTCTATAGTGCAGACTATAGTCTAGTCTATAGTCCAGACTAGAGCCTAGTCTATAGTCCAGACTATAGCCTAGTCTACAGTCCAGATTATAGCCTAGTCTATAGTCCAGACTATAGCCTAGTCTATAGTCTGGTCTACAGTCCAGACTATATACTGGTCTACAGTCCAGACTATATACTGGTCTATAGTCCAGACTATATACTGGTCTATAGTCCAGGTTATAGAATGGTCTATAGTCCAGTCTCTGGGTTCTCTAGTCCTAATAATAGACTGCTCTATATGGTCTACAGTTCAGACTATAAACTGGTCTATAGTCCAGACTATAGCCTTGTCTACAGTCCAGACTACATACTGGTCTGTAGTCCAGGTTATAGAATGGTCTATAGTCCAGAATATCGATTAGTCTCTGGGTTCTATAATCCTGACTATAGACTGCACTATAGTCCAGATTATGCTATATTCTGAACTATAGTCCAGATATGTTATCAAAAAACACAAAAATACACTTAAAATAAAAAAATAAATATTAAACACTAACAACAAATTAAACTATAATAATTATATCACCTAAAAAACATAAGTATTTAAATTACATACAAAAAATGTTAATACTCACTCACATTAAATATTATGATTATTAAATTATTACACGCACAGTAATAAATATCCTTTTCAGTCACTCGCTCTCTCTTACTCCTCTTAAATCCGTTCCAGCGTTTATTATATAAAAATATATACACACGCACACCTCAGACAAATTCAATATATAAATTGGCGCGAGTCCTTGAAATTAAACCACCAAATATTGTATGAAGTATTAAACACACTGATGATGATGAAACTGACGACCACAATGTTGCCGTGCGAGAGGAGTTGTGTGGAAAAAAAAACTGTAAAATATTTAAAGGCTCCTTGGCTAGGTTGTTCTTTAAGAGCGCTGGTGGGTTTGTTGGGTATTGGTTTGGTTGATTTCTTTATGGTTACACTGAAATTGTTAATGAAAACAATTCTTAACTATTGATAATTATAATTATTAAATTTAATTTCAATTTTTTGTCTGGTTTTTATTGTTTCGTTTAGTTTTTCTATTAAATCATAACACGTCACAATTTATTTTTAGTATAATGTAGAAAATAATAAATTTTTTTATATGTCGTTATTTTATTAAGTTTTTATTTTGCCATATAAATGTGTATTGGTGTTAAATATGAGAAAAGGATTTAGGTTTTTTTCCTTTTATATTGTTATTTAAAAACACGATTTTAATAATATAGAATAGTATAATATGTGTGTATGTATGTATATAATAAAAAAGGGTTTCCAGAAAATCTTAGTTGTCAAAAGGCTGTCAAAGGGAATCCTGTACTTCCCAAGCAGTTGCCTTGTCCCTATAAAAAGTCCAAAGTTACAACATGTATTTGTTAGGTTTTTTTTCCAAAAAAAGTACATATACGTTTTCTTTTAGAGAAAACATTTTTCCTCGAGACTATATAAAAATTTTATAAAGAAAAATTAATGCGTAAGCGTGTAAAATAATATTTGGCTCATTTAAGCAGGATCTAACCCTACTAGCCTCATTCAAACATGATCAATTTGTAAAATGAAATCATGCTTTGAGTTCAAAATTCTTAAAACGCAAAGCACCGAACCCCATAATGGCTCCATATTTATATAGCCTTATATGTTTCTTAAATATATCCAAAGGCTTTTTACTATCACGCGGTATATAACATTACATTGGTCACTTTTATCAAAATACTCAGTTTTTGGAATACATTTTCCCCGCTTTAGGAATTACGGTATTTGTACATTGATAACGAGAAAACTAGTTATTTTAGAAAGATTTGGATCTATAGAAATCTAAAATTTTGTTCCCACTTCTTTATCCGTTCAAATTTTACATTAATTCATCCGTTCAAATTTTACATTAATTTTTGTATTTGTGATTTTAAAAAATCTCTATATTATGATTTTTTAAACTTTTTCTTAAATGGTGTTGTAATAATAGAACCGTTATATTAGATAAGTATTAAAGTTTAATATTTCCCTTATTAATCCTGATCCTGACAATTTTGACATTTAAAAAGTATTTTTTACAAATTTAAAAAAATTACGTATTCTACGGAGTTTTATCTTTAAAATATCTTTCGGCTCATTTGGATCTTAAATGCATTATTGAGATTTTTTTTAAATGTGATACCCGAATTGACCAACTTTGTAAAGCTACCCACTGGCAGAAATTTGGCCCACGATCATCTAAAACTGTCAGCTCCAACGATGTAAAATATGCAATAGTTCCAGAGATACCGAATAATTTCCAAAAGTAAACGTTTCTAAACCACTGTTCAGATTATTGTAAATAGAAAATTAAGTCCAAATTAAAAAAGTACGATTCCAATTCTTGGCATTCAATCCGTTATAAAAGTTTGCACTTAATATAAAAGGTATCCATCTGCCTTATTCATAACAATTTATCAAAGGTTTATTGAACAGTTTTGATAAATTGTCTTATAAACATGTGATAAATTGTCATGAATAAGGTCCTATATCTAGAACCAGAATAAACTATTTCGATATTTTTATTGTATATTTGAAATGTTTAGGTTTAAAAAGCTTCAATTTCTAAGTAGAATTTAAATATTCTATAATAATGGAAATAATTCTAAAAAAAATTAAATTTTTTATTATCGGAACATTTTAAGATTGAATTGAAATTCGTAACTAATTTCGGAATATTTGTAAAAGATAAAATAAACTTATTTACAATATAAATAAATTGTTTTTCTGCACACCCTTCATGACAACACATATAATACAACACGTACACATTTATAAAGCAAATATAAAAAAGGTGCAAAATTAGTTTTTTTTTTTTTTTTTTTTTTGTTTGATTTTATATACGAAGGCAAATTTTGTGTAGAGATTTTTATTTTATTTTCAAACACTCACAATAACTTTTTCTGTAGATGTAGATTAAAACTACGTAGAACTATTAGGTTTCCTTGGGCATAAACTTTTTAAACTTTAGTTTTTTGGGAAAACAGTAAACGCAATTTATGTTTAAAGGTGTTTATTTGTTTATTTAATTATTGTTGACTTTTGTTATAAATTTAATGCAATTAGCATGTATATTTCTTCTTGTTTTTTTATAAATTATTTAAATAGGCGCACACACTTTAAAGGACTGAATAAAAGTAAAGAAACACAGGATATGTATGATTTGTTTGTGGTTAAAGGTAAAATTTATTTAAATACACATAAAATGTTTATTTATATTATTTAAAATTCATGTTATAAAAATGTATTTGTTTAAACTTTTCTTTTTTTGGTAATTTAATATTCTTTTTTTTTTTTTTTCTTTTAGAACAAAAATAAAATTATTATTTTTTAAGTTATGAAAAATATAACAACCGTTTAGCACAAAGGATGTACTCTTTCTAAATATGCCTGAAAATATGCAATAGGATTTAACTACACGGAGAATACAGAAAATATGTACCAAATTGCTTAGTTGTGTTTTTCTTTCTCACTTTTAAAATCATAGCAACAAAAATCCTTAATATTCTAGAACTACTCTCGCGAATATGTATGTGTAAGAATTTCGCTTACAAAATAATAACATCAGCAACATAAAATTTTCAATTGCGACTCAATTATTCAAAACCTTCTCTCTTCTTATAACTCTTAAGGATATTTTTTAAAATCTCTTTTTTATAAAATATACCATAAATAAGTAAGCTCTCTGTCTGCTTTACTAGTTGTTCTCTCGTTCTTTGTAATCTCTGCTACAATAACCACCCAATTTTATTTACCTCCCCCCATCATCTCCATTAACATCATTTGCCACCCTGCATCCTTGTTGTTTTTACTGTGTTTCTTGTTTTTTGTTTTGAATACACTGTATTTTAGTTTGTTTGTTTTTTTTTCTAACCCAAAAATTTGTTTTTTTTTAGTTTTGTTTATCTATCATCATGTTTTGTATTTTTTTTTATTCATTTTTTTAGTAGAACATTATAAATTCACCCTCTCCTTCCACTTTTTGATTTTCAAAACCTTTCTTTCTTTGTTGACTTTTCATGTTATTTTCATGTAGGTTGCGAAAATCTTTTAAATGGTTTTAAATGTTTCTTGTTGTTTAGCTTTTTGGTTCTCTTAAAGTAAAGAAGGGTGAATTGTAGTTGAATTTTGAAAGCATGTTGATTTTTATGGGTTTCTTTAAAACCACTTGAAATAAAAATTTTAGAAAATACCCTATGTTTGCTGTCTTGAGTTTTCTCCGAACCTGTTTTGTTATTATTTAAATTTTGTTTTTTTATAATATTCTTAATTTCAACCCCTTTCGGTGTTATATTTTAGACAAAAAAGATCAAAAGTATAAATGATTTTTAAAAACAAATTATATTTGACAGGTACAATCTAAATGTTGATAAGGATAAAGAAACATATAAATATTAACGATAAGAATCGGACTAGTTTGATCAGATTTATTACAATTTCCGAAAATGTCTTCAAGATAGCAAAGAATTATTTTATTGTTTACTGTTGGTACTGACATCTAATTCTTATGAACCAGATGCAGTTAGTTAGTTAGTTAGTTAGTTAGTTAGTTAGTTAGTTAGTTAGTTAGTTAGTTAGTTAGTTAGTTGTTAGTTAGTTAGTTAGTTAGTTAGTTAGTTAGTTAGTTAGTTAGTTAGTTAGTTAGTTAGTTAGTTAGTTAGTTAGTTAGTTAGTTAGTTAGTTAGTTAGTAGTTAGTTAGTTAGTTAGTTAGTTAGTTAGTTAGTTAGTAGTTAGTTAGTTAGTTAGTAGTAGTTAGTTAGTTAGTTAGTTAGTTAGTTAGTTAGTTAGTTAGTTAGTTAGTTAGTTAGTTAGTTAGTTAGTTAGTTAGTTAGTTAGTTAGTTAGTTAGTTAGTTAGTTAGTTAGTTAGTTAGTTAGTTAGTTAGTTAGTTAGTTAGTTAGTTAGTTAGTTAGTTAGTTAGTTAGTTAGTTAGTTAGTTAGTTAGTTAGTTAGTTAGTTAGTTAGTTAGTTAGTTAGTTAGTTAGTTAGTTAGTTAGTTAGTTAGTTAGTTAGTTAGTTAGTTAGTTAGTTAGTTAGTTAGTTAGTTAGTTAGTTAGTTAGTTAGTTAGTTAGTTAGTAGTTAGTTAGTTAGTTAGTTAGTTAGTTAGTTAGTTAGTTAGTTAGTTAGTTAGTTAGTTAGTTAGTTAGTTAGTTAGTTAGTTAGTTAGTTAGTTAGTTAGTTAGTAGTTAGTTAGTTAGTTAGTTAGTAGTTAGTTAGTTAGTTAGTTAGTTAGTTAGTTAGTTAGTTAGTTAGTTAGTTAGTTAGTTAGTTAGTTAGTTAGTTAGTTAGTTAGTTAGTTAGTTAGTTAGTTAGTTAGTTAGTTAGTTAGTTAGTTAGTAGTTAGTTAGTTAGTTAGTTAGTTAGTTAGTTAGTTAGTTAGTTAGTTAGTTAGTTAGTTAGTTAGTTAGTTAGTAGTTAGTTAGTTAGTTAGTTAGTTAGTTAGTTAGTTAGTTAGTTAGTTAGTTAGTTAGTTAGTTAGTTAGTTAGTTAGTTAGTTAGTTAGTTAGTTAGTTAGTTAGTTAGTTAGTAGTTAGTTAGTTAGTTAGTTAGTTAGTTAGTTAGTTAGTTAGTTAGTTAGTTAGTTAGTTAGTTAGTTAGTTAGTTAGTTAGTTAGTTAGTTAGTTAGTTAGTAGTTAGTTAGTTAGTTAGTTAGTTAGTTAGTTAGTAGTTAGTTAGTTAGTTAGTTAGTTAGTTAGTTAGTTAGTTAGTAGTTAGTTAGTTAGTTAGTTAGTTAGTTAGTTAGTTAGTTAGTTAGTTAGTTAGTTAGTTAGTAGTTAGTTAGTTAGTTAGTTAGTTAGTAGTTAGTTAGTTAGTTAGTTAGTTAGTTAGTTAGTTAGTTAGTTAGTTAGTTAGTAGTTAGTTAGTTAGTTAGTTAGTTAGTTAGTTAGTTAGTTAGTTAGTTAGTTAGTTAGTTAGTTAGTTAGTTAGTTAGTTAGTTAGTTAGTTAGTTAGTTAGTTAGTTAGTTAGTTAGTTAGTTAGTAGTTAGTTAGTTAGTTAGTTAGTTAGTTAGTAGTTAGTTAGTTAGTTAGTTAGTAGTTAGTTAGTTAGTTAGTTAGTTAGTTAGTTATGTAAAACGTAAAAAATTTTAAAGTAGATATTTTGTAAGACTTTTATTACTAACAGATAAATAATAAACATGATTTATGGGAAAAATAAGGAAACATATAGTTCTATTGTATATTAAAAAATCAAACTGTGCATAAAACAAATTAAGGAAAATTGATAAAGTAAAACTGAAACTCGATAATTCACATAAAATATAACATAGAAATAAAAATACAGAAAAAGTGGTTAAAAAATTATTAGAAATTTGTTTAAATTATTGGAAATTTGTTTAACATATTAATTTAAAAAATGAAAAACACAAAAAAATTTAATGACTACAATTAAATATAATCAGTTTTTAATGCGCAAATCAATTGCTTCGCCACCTTCTAAGTCCAAATCTGCAGGAGTATCATTCAGCTCCAACAATTCACCATCAAAACTGTAAATGGTTATAATAAATTTGGTTTATTTATATTAAATATATTAATTTTATATTTATTTGTAATTATGATTTACCTTAATTTTAAATGATCTAGTGCAATCTTTAATTCTTCTGCACATTTTATATATAAAATACGAAATTTATCAGTCTTCATTATATCAATTTGTAAGGGACGCTTCCATTTATCAGACTGAATTTTAAGAGTGATTTTATTGGCATCGCGTTTTTTAGCGGCTGCTGTTACAGCTCCTGGTGAGTTGAAACGATTCTTGAGTACACGACCATCTATAAGATAGTTGATTATTTGTTATAATTTTGATTTCATTTTTTCGCTTTTACTGGCAGTCATCAACTATTGCTTTTACTGGCAGTCATCAACTATTGCTTTTACATTTTTTTTTAATTTCGCACAAAATAAAACATAACACTAGTTTCACCAAAAAAAAACAAACGCCAATTTTGTAAATTAACAAACACAAAGTAATTTTAAAACGCAAACAAAAAACCCTTAATTTTATTAAAAGCTATGTACATTGAAAACAATTCTGCAGCAAAAAAGAAAAAGTTCATATCATTTAAAAAATATGATATTTTTTAAAAGTGTTTTGCTATTTGAATTTTTTCCACAGAATTGGGACTAAATACTAAATCAAGTCAAATTCCTACTAATACTAAATAAAAAATTTTCAGCTTACTAAACTACATCGTGATAAAGTAATATTCGGAAATAATATAAATATCAAATTTTTAAATTTCATCTTAAATGTTTTTAATTTAATTTTTAGAAATAAAATCCCCGATTTCAGCCGTTAATTGTGACCAAAAGACAAACATGTAACTCAATAGATTCCATTATATAAAAGGAAAATTACAAACGGAATCATAAACATATATATAATTTTCTCAGGAAATTGTAGGGTATAAAAATGATTACAAAAAATTCTATCAACAAAAGTCATGCATAATTTACACTTTTAATTTAAGATGAAAATAATTAAATTAAAAATATCACTCACCAATAAAATGGAAAATTTTGTAATTTATCGAATCGGGTGTATCATCCGCCATAATAATACGATCATTAAGATTGAAAACTATATTCTCAACGGAAATATTCTCACGTTCAGCCAATTGTGTGAATATAATCGAAAACTTTTGATATTTACGTAATTTAAATGACTCCAGTTTGCCCTTCCAATTAACTTTGATATTAAGTTCCGGATTGTCCTCATCAAATGATATATCCAATGATGCATTAGTCGATCCCTTATTTACACTGGAATTTATAGTAAATTCTTCTTGATTTTTCTTTTTACTACGTGTAGTACGCGCTGTTTCTTCTGTATCCGAGTCTAATTCAATGAAACCCTCTACACGGGGCATAGGACTGGAAACTAAATCTATATAATCAACTTGTGTACTACGAGCAGCAATTTCGGCAACATATTGACGACGTGCACGCATGACACGTTGACGACCACGACGACCCTGTTGCAGAAAACGTTCCATTATTGTTAGAGTGGATGTAGTGGCGTTATCGGACTCCTCTTCATGTGTGGACACTTCATTTGAGGAGGTGTTTGATAGTCCATTTGAAATTTCTGAAATATCTGTTGTGTTATTCGATAGATCTGATGTACTTGCGTTGTTTGCTCTTCTTCTTCCTCTGCCACGACCTCGACCTCTTCCTTTACCTCCTCTCCCTCTGCCCTTGGACGATGATGGTTCAATATTTTCCAATATTGTTTCTGTAATTTTTTTGCTCAAATCCAAAGATCTTCTTGTTCTCCTACCAACTGGCTGTTCATCTACTTGTTTACTTAAATTCTCCAACAAAGGCAAAGTTGGTGACAGAGAGCCATCAGTTGATGTGGAACTTCTACGGGACTTTTCATTTTTCTTTGATTTTTTATCTGGTGTTGTGTTTTTTTCCTTGAGCCGCTGTCTTTTTGTTGGACTCTTTTGCACATTATTATTTACCAGGGAATCAAAATCAAAGTCATCATTATCTAAACCTAAGCTATCATTGAGTTCAGCACTTTTGGTCGACTCCAGAGTTTTGAGTTGATCCAGGAAATTTGCTAATGAATAATATTTGCAATAAATAATTTTGACTTTTAATAATTTTTTTGCATTGCTTACTTTTTCTTAGATCATCCAAATTTTTAAATATATTAAACTCTTCCGTCATTTTTATATTTTATAAGGAGTTCATATATTTATCCAAATATCAACGAAAATAAGATATTTTCGCAAAAAAGTAGCGCAATGTTTAAAAAATAAAGCATAACAAAACTTGACGCGCACAAATAAGATGATATAGTAAACACAGCTGGCAATTGTTTACAACTTTTTCATATGTCAAACTTCATATAAAAAAACTAATTTTATTTTGTCAAACTCTATATATAAAAAGTAAAGAAATGTATTTCTCCCTAATGCCACCCCTTACAAATTAGTCCTTAAAATGGTGACATGTTCAAGCCTGCTCAAAGCTCATGGTTGCAAAAATGTGCAACAAATTTTGTATACATTTTAAATTAGCGCCAAATGTAGATTGCAAATCGCTAGATATAAAGAATATAAAATGTAATTTTTTTGCCTATTTTATTTTTTAAGTTCAAAATATTACTAATAAATTTAGTTTTTCTGCAATTAGGGTGGAAATTAAACAAATTTATTCCTGTTTCCCATCCCTGTTGAACACAAATGTCGTTACTAAAATTATCAACTATGGTTCTCTT